AATATAATTATATCAATATAATATAATGTAATAATATTATTGTAATATTATTAATATAATAAATATAATTATATCACTACAATATAATATATAATATATTATAAAATAATAATTACAATATCATATTATAATTATATTATAATTACAATATCATATTATTAAAATTATTATAAAATTATTATAATATCATATTATATGATAAAATAATAATATTAGAGTTATTAATATAATTATGTATTATTTGTTACAATATTACTATTATAATATATTATATTATATTACGAGTTTGAATTTTAGATTGGTAAGATTGTAAATTTTAAATTTAAATATGAGTATTATGGGTATTATGAAAGTTTCATTAATTGTATTATACTGATTCCCGCACAATTTAAAAACTAAAGTTGTCTTTAGGCTGCTTATGATTTTGGCTGTAAATTCTTAAAAAATTCTTCAAAAAGCACTTTTGAGAAGATTTACCAAACACTAAAATCAACTTCTACTACAAACAGAAGTTGATTTTGAAAAGAAAAAACAATACCAAACTAAGCCATTAACTTGTGGTGTAATCTGTGGGTCCCAACGGTCGATGGTTTCAAGCCAACTCCTATTTACAAGGAGGCGCTGGGGTACTATAAAGTTTCGGACCTTATTTCGCTAAGTGGCTACTAGATAGAAGATCGAGTGAGGCATTGTTTTGACGCTCAAGAGGCTAATGCAATGCTTCAAATTCCTCTTTCCCTTTCGACCTTAGCTGACAGATGGTGTTAGGTGCCAAGTAGCAGTGGGATGTTTTCAGTAATGACTGTTTACCTGTTGGAATTGGGTGTGCAAGATCAGAGCAGGCAGCAACCAATATCTAGAAAGATCTGTGGAAGGAAAAAATTCATCGCAGGCACAAGATCCTTTGTTGGTTGATCTCTGTGGAAGCCTTAGCTGTTGGAAGTGTGATTGCTCGTGGAGCGGGGAGTTGGGTAGCCAGCTGTCCTCTCTGTAGAGAGGAGGAAGAATCTTTGGGTGCCTTTAGAACCGATTTTAAAATGATTTTATTTTTTGTATGAAATTAAAATGGAAACGTTTTTAATCTCAGATAGAAATTGTTTTTAAAAATGTGTTTTGTGGTAATTTAATTGAGAGATTGTTTCAATATAAGAATAAACTGAAATTGTATTTAGTTATACATTTTTAAAAACATAAAATAGTATTTTTTTTAAAAAATCTTAAATAATAATAATAATAATAATAAGAAGAAGAAGAAGAATAATAATATTAATAATAATAATAAGAAGAAGAAGAAGAATAATAATATTAAT